CATTGTGTTGATCTGATTTTCTTCTGGTAGATGTTACCCAAGTTGCTGTAAGACTTCCCTAATCTGATCGTGAAAAAAGAGATGAGATACAGTGCTCGAGTATCATAAAGTAGTCTTAACAATATCAACTAATCACCTGGTTGTAAGCCCCACTAGGGCTGATGTGGAGAAGTATGGCATTCATTTCTGGGTTTTGTTTAATGCTTCATTCATACAGTTTGCTTGAAGTAGATAGTTCTGGCTTGCTGCAGCAGAAAATTTTCTCTTGTTTTTATTTTCAGTGAAAATAGTGGAGTTGGTTCAAGAGAATATATTTGAACTGATCATATATACAATTATTTCTCCTTGAGAGGACTACATCAGGAATAAGCGTTTAGATGTTGGACTGCCATCCACCTAATTCACGTATCTTTGGAGGGCTCCTTCCTTGTCAACATAAGTGAAGGGAAGAAACAGTTTTGTTAAACACAGGAAAGGGGGCCAATATCTGTTCAAACTGCTCTTCAAGTGAAAAGTCAGTGTAAAACTTGACTGCTGTGCTGCACGTTTTCGAAGCCAGCTGTGTGTATGTACTATTGCTCATAGTGCTTAAGAACCAACATTGGTGAAGGAAGAAAGATCTTGCAGGTCTGTCTGTGCTAGAGAGTGTGGTGTATTGAAGACTGAGTTGACGCAGACCAAGGTACCACAAGCAGTCCATCAGTGGCATCAGAGTACAGTGCAAACTTACTCTGCTCCCCCACCATGATGTACCTTTATGATACGTCCTTGAGCAGCTGTGACAAACTGCTCCTTTTTATGTGTCATCTTCCACTTTGGTCAAATATACATTCCGATCACGCTTTTGCATTTACTGAATTTACTTAGGTTCTTGGTGCAAGTTGGGGAGATTACGTATTCTGCAGTTAGCTGAAGTTGGTGGTCATTAGCTTGAGGAGCAAACACCTTTTTAATGCTTTTTTATCCTGGCAGATCTTTAAGGATGCTTTCCATAGAGTGCAGGAGCTCTCAATACCCAGGTGTAAGAAATCAGGAAAGGAAGGCAAGAGACTGATGTGGATGAGTCAAGACCTGCTAGTCAAACTAAAGGGTGAGAAGGAAACGCACAGGTATTCTGGGACGAGTATAGGGATGTTGTCTGGTTGTGTAGGGATGGGGTCAGGAAGGCCAAGGCACCAGCTGGAGCTGAACTTGGCAAGAGATGCAAAGAATAATAAGAAGGGCTTTTACAGGTATGTCAGCCAGAAAAGGAAGGTCAAAGAAAGCGTACCCCCCTGATGAGCAAGACTAGAAAACTGGTTACAACAGACGAGGAGAAGGCTGAGATACTCAACAACTTCTTTGCCTCGGTCTTCACTGGCAGTGTCTCTTCCCACACCGCAAGATGAGGACTGGGGGAGCCAAGTCCCTCCCATTGTAAGAGACGATCAGGTTTGTGACCACCTGAGGAACCTGAATATAACTGTGTGGGACCTGATGAGATGCATCCCTGAGTCCTGCGGGAATTGGCTGATGTAGCTGCCAAGCCATTCTCCATGATATCTGAAATGTCATAGCAGTCAGGCGAAGTCCCTGGTGACTGGAAAAAGGGAAATGTTGCACCCATTTTTAAAAAGGGTGGAGACGAGGACCCTGGGAACTACTGACCTGTCAGCCTCATTTCTGTGCCTGACAAGATCATGGAACAGATCCTCCTAGAAGCTATGCTAAGGCACATGGAGGACAGGGAGGTGATTCAAGACAGCCAGCATGGCTTCACCAAGGGCAAGTCTTGCCCGACCAACCTAATGGCCTTCTATGTTACAGTGACTACATCAGTGGACAAGGGAAGAGCAACGGATGTCATCTATCTGGACTTCTGTAAGGCCTCTGACACAGTCCCCCCTAACATCCTTTTCTCTAAATTGGAGAGATAATGGATTTGATGGATGGACTGTTCAGTGGATGAGGAATTGGTTGGATGGTTGCATCCAGAGGGTAGTGGTCAACGGCTCAGTGTCTCGATGGAGACTGGTGACAAGTGGTGTTCCTCAGGGATCCGTACTGGGACGAGTGCTGTTTAATATATTCATCAATGGTGTAGACGGTGGGATCAAGTGCACCCTCAGCAAGTTTGCAGAAGCCACCAGAGCCAACAATGTGCGCTCGCAGCCCAGAAGGCCAATTGTGTCCTCAGCTGCATCAAAAGCAGCATGGCCAGGAGGTCGAGGGAGAGGATTCTGCCCCTCTACTCCGCTCTGGTGAGACCCCACCTGCAGTGCTGCGTCCAGCTCTGGGCCCCCAACATAAGAAGGAGATGGACCTGTTGGAGTGGGTCTGGAGGAGGCCCACAAAAAATGCTGGAGCACCTTTCCTCTGAAGATAGGCTGAGAGAGTTGGGGTTGTTCAGCCTGGAGAAGAGAAGGCTCCAAGGACACCTTATTGCAGCCTTTCAGTACTTAAAGGGGGCTTATAAGAAAGATGGGGACAAACTTTTTAGCAGGGCCTGTTGCAATAGGACAAGGGGTAATGGTTTTAAACTAAACAAGGATAGATTTAGACCAGATATAAGGAAGAGATTTTTTTGCAATGAGGGTGGTGAAACACTGGCACAGGCTGCCCAGAGAGGCGGTAGATGCCCCAGCCCTAGAAACTTCCAAGGCAGGAGGGCAGGAGACCTGTATCTGGTATCAAAGATGTGAACATGCAGTTTATTTAAACAGCAACGAAGTAGTGTTTTCTGTTCTTCTCATTTCCTCTTCTAATACTCCTGAGCGTTCTGTCAGCAGAATGAAAAAGTCTAATGAGCACTGAGCTTATGTGTCATCGGGCTGGCTACAGTGACCACTCCTGAGTAGCATGAGCTAATTTACGTAATCACGATAGTTTTCACTGAGAAAAAGCAGATACTCTAAGTTCATTACTTAGTATTTAATGACATTTAGCAACAAAACGTCAGTTGGAGATCAATCAGTATAGATCCCTTTCTGAATTCCTTAATCAGCTCATACCTAATCCCCTGGATAGAAAAGTATCTTCAGCACATTTTGTCACCTTATTATTCACAACCTTTTCCAGATCTTTCATGAAGATGAGCAGCACAGTTCTCAACACTGATTCCTGTGGGATTCCACTGGTAACTTTCCTCATTGTGAAAAATGGCCATTTGTTTTTATCCTTTGTTTCCTCTCTTTTAACCAATTGTTAATCCTCAAGAGTCCCTTCCTTTTTATCCTTCACGATTTAGTTTCTTCGAGTGTTTATTTAGGCCTGTTGGAAACTTTGTAGAAACTCCATACAGCCTGCCTGTAAGGGAAGCACTAGAGCAAGAGCTTGTGGAAACATTCCAAGAATTCTGCTATGTTTCTGAGATTAATTTTTTTCTGCAAAAACCATATTCCTCATTATGTTATATAGATCTATGCATCTGCTAATTGTTTTTGTTATTATTGCCTTCATTTTGCCTAATACTGAAGTAAGTTTTACTGGTGTGCAGCTTCTCTGAAATGTCTCACCCTTTGAGATCCCTGTTTGCCACCTTTAATTTGTCATTATTCGCACACTTTTTCATTCAAGAGCTGATTTAGGTGGTTGTATTGAAGAGTTCACCATTCGTTTCATAGAGTTGCTTTAGAAGTCAAGTGAATGACACCTGGTCTTGGTCCTATCCAACCTGATGGTCCAAGGAAAAAACAAAAGTTAGGAGAGTTCCATAAAATAAAAGTTTTGCTACTTTCTGTTGCGGAAAAAATTGCACAATAAAGTGGAAATAATTTGGGCTACTAACCACTATCATCAAAACCGTCCACTGTGTTAAAGGGCAGCATAATTTTATTGGGTTTTAGAAAGTTTTGGAGGGCCTTTCAAGAACAGATCACCAAATTTCCCAGCACATGCAAGTCTGGGGAAATACTGCTTTTACATGCTGTAACAAAGACTGTCACTGAACTGTTCATGTAACTTTAGTATATGCATTAACATGTGGAATTTCCTTGATTCAGTGTAGTTCTCCTTTCCCATTCTTGGTGACACTAAGAGTGTTAAATTACTTTTATGAAAGGTGACCTCTTCTTTCCATTTGTCAGCTACTTACATTTGTTTTTACTTCTTAACAGCATAGAAAACTGGCAGTTTCCCTTATAAGAGACCAACTTTTCTGCTATTGGAAATTCTTGGGTAGTAGTTTTTATAATTCAGCTGATCCTTCTTTAGGAATAATTGGCCTGTAGCTGAGAATCTTGTTACTAAAACAGCAGAGTGTGTGTGTGTGTTAGAGAGGAATTATTTTATGTTTGCTTTGAAAGAAATACCTACTGCTCCAGAGAAAGGTGTGAGAAAGTAGAGGGATAGACGATAGGCACACAGATGTGCCATTATAGCAGAGAGGACACCTTGTAAACTACGCCTAAGACCTTAAACAAGAAGATAAGGTTGATGTGGCGTGCTCTTTGCTTTCTTACCTCTCTCACTGAGCCTTCATTTAAAAAGGAAAGATAAATGCTTATGTAATTTCTGGTAGTAATGCTTAAAGCAAAGAATGCTTATTAATAAGTTGGAGCAAAATACTGTATCTGTTGCTTTGGGGTTTTATTTTCTTCCCCCCAAAAAAAACCTTTAAATCAAGAAAATACAGGGCTACAGTTGAACTTTTGCATATGTGTATATATGTATTTACTACAGTAATCTTGATATACGAAAGACTATAACTTCTTCAAGTGAACCGCTTACTCTTTTTACGTGGCTTTTTTTGAACTTTAACACTGTTGCGTCACGATATTGATACGAGGTGTGCATTTATCAGTGTATCTGTATGCATTTATCTATTTAGAGCACATTAATCCTACATGTTTTCCCAAACTACAATGTACCATTTGGTATGTGACCCTCTCCATTGCTGATTATATATTGTTGTTGAATTCATCTTAATGTGTGGAAATGATGAGTCATTTTTACTGAGAAGACATTGTGAGGTTTTTTTGGGGTTTCTGATGGATGTCTATTGAATGACTGCTCTTTTGCAGGTAAAGTGGATGATGTACTGGATTGTGTTTGCCTTTTTCACCACTGCAGAAACGCTGACAGACATAGTTCTTTCTTGGTGAGTTCCTTGGTGGCATGGGGGTTTTTTGTTGGTTTGTGTTTTGTTTTGTTTTGTTTTTTCTTTAAAGAATAGAGGAGTAGGGTTAGGATGCGAAGAATAAGCTGTCTCTTCCTTTAGGAGTTTTCGATTCCTATGAAGAGTCTGAAGGTTTGTAGATATTGTGGATAGCAGCTGCTGCCTTAGCTGTTTCATCTCCTATACTTGCAAACAGTTAGGTTAAATACACAGTAGCTGTAAGAGGCTCTTCATTCATTCATAACATAAAATATTTTTGAGGAGCTGTTAATGTGAACTGGTAAAGTTTGAGACATGGTGGTCTAAAAGACAAAAAAAAAAAGACGGTGGAAGGGACCTGTTTTGTTTTGTGAGCCTGTTGTGCAGAGGAGCAGGTCAGGTGCATGACTCTGCTCTGAGTGGTGTTTTGCACAATGAAATTCTCTTTCACTAGCAGGGGTGGGGTGGAGTGGAGTCGGGGGAAGCAGGTTCTAATCCTTTCAGTGCTGTGTGTCATGCTTGGCAATATGAAGGCATCCAAAAATGACAAATCGTTGTTGCATGTCTTCAGCTGAACCTTTGGAACAGGGTATCTTCAGTTTCTTCATTGCTTTAGTGTTTGAGCCATGCATATGTCTCTGAAAGAATACTAGTCAAGAGTTGCATCTTAAAAAGAAACATGAAATGGCTACACATGCCTTACAAGTGTGTACAGCAGTTTTGCCTCTTCCTGCATAAACTTTGAAAAGCAGACAAATATCTAAAAAGTACAAGAGCTTTGGCTTGTTCGTGTACTTAGAATGGACCACTGAAAAGAGAAGTCTCTTACTATTAATGGAGACAGTAGAAAGTTTGCATTCACTTGGTTCAATCTCTGTTACTGTATCTTCCCAGAGACTTTATTAGGTAAGGGTTAGAGATGAAAGACTTACGTGCTGCCTGCTCTTCTTCATTTACACTGATCCTCCTTTTGTGTCTTATCTGAGGAGTACCTACTGGAAGTTGCAGAAACTGAGCCATCAGCCTTAGCAGGAACTTGAGGTTTATCGAGATATGTAGTTAAAAACTTTGGAAAATGAGAGGGAAACTAACGTCATATTAACATCCAGTGGATACTCTCTGAACGAACTTCAGAACGACAAGAGTAGCTATCAGATTGTAATTTGGTGTGTTTGCAGGGCTGAGAGATGCCCTGTTTATGGAGTTTTCATGGCTATGGATGAAAGACTAAATGAGACTCGAAGAAGGTATGTCCTAGGATTCCAAAGAGGGTTCTGCTATTCTGACCTGATGTATCGATTCTTTTGTTTCTGAGCCTTTATCTTGCCTTTGCTCTTTCTGCCTATGCTGCTCTCTACCAGTTACCTTCATCTGTCTCTGTGCTGATCTTGATTCCAGTTCTCCATCTTTCTTTCTCTCTCTCTCTCTTTTTTTTTTCTTCCCTCTTTCTCTCAGGTTTCCCTTTTATTTCGAGCTGAAAATCGCATTTGTGATTTGGCTGCTCTCCCCTTACACCAAGGGCTCCAGTGTCCTCTACAGGAAGTTTGTGCACCCAACGCTCTCCAGTAAGGAGAAGGTACTTGCTTGTTGTTAGAAGCTACTGACCTGTCTGGGAGCTGACTGACTTCTGATTCAGTTATGCCACAATAAAAACTGAAATGCATGACTCATGCCTGTGCTGACATTAGTGGATGTAGAATGATTCTGTCTCTGACAACGATGTCATACTGCAGCTTACTGGAGATTGTAATGTAGCCAGTAGTTTGCCTAATGCTTAGAGAGCACGTTTGGCTAACCCAGTGTCACGAGCCCTTATAGTCACTGTCAGTAGTTAAACTCTTTGAATCACGGCAGGAGCAGCATGTTCTGCAGCCATGCTGGTTTTTCACATTGTCTGTACAAGCAACTGTTTTGTCAGTTGTCACAATTTGGAGATGGCGTACTTTAAGTAAAAGTTGCGTTTGCAAGTTTTCTGTAAGTAGTAGAGAAACTGCAGTTATGTGATCAACGACGGTTGATGCTGATAGCGTGGAAAAAAATGTCCAGATGAGTTTGGGTTTTTAAGGGTGATGGTGGGGAGACTTTGATCGTGTTTGTAACGAGGAGCTAAATGCCATGTTCCACATTGCCTTCCTAGGAAATTGATGAATACATTACTCAGGCTCGTGACAAGAGCTATGAAACCATGATGCGAGTTGGCAAGAGGGGGTTAAACCTTGCTGCCAATGCAGCAGTTACTGCAGCTGCAAAGGTAATGCAACACCTTCTGTAACATTCAGGAATTCCCCAGTAGTTTAGTTTTGTGTGCCAGAAATTAGTGCTATGGGCCTGTTAGGCATGCTGGTACTTGTTGGCACCAGTCTGCTTTTTCTTTCCTCCAGTTTGCCTTGCAATTAGTCCCATCCTTTGACTTAGGAAAAGTGGAGGGAGAGTGGAATGGATTTTGCTTTAACCTCTTCCCTGTTGGTCTTGGGAGTATACTTTTCTTTTTCCCTTCTCTGTTTTTTTTCCCCCCGAGTACCCTAGTGGGGTACTCTTCTTCTGAATGATCTTATGTGAGATGATCTTGGTGAAGGTGAAGTGCCCTTGACCCTAATTTTTATGTCCTCTTAGGGCCAGGGAGTTTTGTCTGAGAAGCTGCGAAGTTTCAGCATGCAGGATCTCACCCTGATCCGAGATGAAGATACCATGCATATACGAAGCCATGAGCCACAGCTGCACGCCTCTGGTGGGAGTCTTCTTGAAACCATTGAGGATTCAGGTACAGAACGCCCCTGCTGGGCCATTGTATGAGGCCTCATATGGTGAGCCAGGAGGAGAGGAGGGGTCCCCTGGACTTTTCATACGTTGGGTCTCAGAAGGACTACAAGATTCCAGATTGTCTGGGAGAAGTTGCATTGTCTTCACTAGTTCCATCTGCTAACACATCTCTGTCCTTTTTGGATTATCCTTTGTAAGGATTGTTGACGTCTCCCTTTCATGCCATTTTAGGCTTCATGTGATTTTTTCAAAAGTATTTGCTAAAATTTTTTTTTTTATTCGTTAGCTTCCTGTTACTCCTCAGGAGAGGAGAGCAATGTGGCACAGAGGTCTAATGGAACCCCGTCGGAGACTAGAACAGACCCATCAGATGAAGATGCAGGAGACAAACTTCCTAAACGTACTCAGAGTCTCAAAACTCCTAAGAAAGTGGTGAAAGCTGAGGTGAGCTGGTGTGTAAATTATTTCCAGCACAGACATTAATTTGTGAGGTTTGTTTGAAGGCTCTGGGTTCATAGTCTCAGTGCATATGAAAGCTGTTAATATAAACTTCGTTGGACTAAGTCTTTGCTGGTTGAGTCCTACATCAGAGAACTTGCCACCTACTTGCTATACTAGTCTCTAGCTTTTGTAATTTTTATCATGCCTGTAAGCCTCTGTCATAAGCCAGGACCAAGCTTTGCTTTCATTCAGGTTTTGTGTTGAAGGGTAGGTATGGCACTTGGCCTTGTTGAACCTCATGAGGTCACACAGGCCCACTTCTTGAGCTTACATAGCTTCTCAAACTAGCCTTTTTGAAACAACAGATGACATGAACAGGGTCATCATGTTGTTTTGTCCTATTTTCACTCTGTATTCTTGTATCTTTCTGTTAGACATTTAGGTGTTAAATTAAACTAACCTAAGATGCCTCTTTCTTTCTCTTCAGCTTCCAGTAAGAAGTGTGAAAGCCCGCCCTAAGAAGAAAGCTGCAGGCTCTCTTGCTTCTGGCGAGTCATCCTAAGGAGACCTCCCCCTCCCCAGCACCTGTCTGTCCCGGGATTTGCCTGTCACTTTTGAGGGGAAACTCCCCAAAGGAAGGGATCTGAGATTCATGTACATAACAGATACTGCTTTGTAGAGCTCATTCCAAGGCAAGGGGAGGCTGGGATGCAGAAAATGGAGTAGAGGATACACATCCTCAGGAATTTTCTCCTTTTCATCTCTCTGTTGGAGGGAATGCTGATATGTCTGTACATAGCCTGTTGCTTTGGAATTCCCACTGTATAACCCTAGTTGGGGACAATCTTTGCTGGAAAAACTGACTAGGGTTAGAGACATCCATTGCACAGAAGCTGGAAAAATATTAGACACTGGAGTTCCCCAGGGGGTGGGTGGCTCCCTAAAATGTCTTATCTTGCTCTGGGTATTCTTCTGCAGCTGTGTGTTGTTAAGAAGTGCCCACCATGATTCATCCTCGTTAAGAATGGACCATACCTGTCATGTCCATCCCCTTTGAGAAGGTGACTGAAATGATGTATGCTGAGTGCTTTTGAACATAAAGGACTAGCTCATGGGAGGAGTATGCTAGATTCCCATTACTAGTACTAGAAAATGAAGAGATTGGGTTTTATTTTATTTTTTTCTGGAAGGTGAAGGGAGATAATTGAAAAACTGGGTAATGAAGAAAATGTGCTGTTATTTGCACATGTGATGGAGTGGATACAGGTATCTCTAAGAGTTAACTATTGAGAAGGAAAGTTGGGCATCTGTAAGATTTTGGCTCTTTTTGAAGCTGCTTGAATTTTATTTCAGGTTCTGTTGTTCACTTTGATTCCTGTGAAAACATCAGAGTGAGGCGAGTCCCACACAGTGGGAAAAGTAGACAGGGAGACTGTTGCTTTGCCGTTTAGCAGTTGAACTTCGTGTCATCCTGATGCTTGTTACTGTGGACAAATTCTTTCATTCTAGCAGATGACTGGGGAAAATCTGGCTCAATGGAGTCTGCAGACATTCTTGAGAATTTCAGAAGCCCTTATCTCTCAGCTTTAGGAGATCCAATCCTCAGGGCATGAGAACTGCTAAATAGCTGATGTATGAATTTCGCTAATTCCAGGATTCCATGTATGGGGGCTAAAAAGCAGGGAGTAGGGCACAATACTGTGATTAGTCTGTCCTCTTGTTTTATCTTACTGCAGCCCTTGCACAGATTTTCTGTCTGAAAAGTTTCATGTTTATCAATGTCCTGAGACTTGAGCAATATGTAACGCTTGGGACAGAAGTACACTGAATGTAGAATACGTATCGTGGGAGTGAAATTGCAGTGCTGCAGAGAAAATTTGCATCATGCCAAGCCATACTGGATTCTAATCTAAACGATGTTGAACATCGTTAAGGGGAGATCCCCTGTACACATGCCAACAGGGTCAATGAGAATTTATGAGTAGGGTTTCTGTTGTGGAGATCTATAATGAGGGAGCACCATTACAGACCTGGTTGTCTGAAGGAATACTTGATGGTCTTAATCTTTACTGAAACTAGTTATCAAAGGAACCTGGCTCCTCCTTCCCTACTGAATACCATTCCTAGCTTGAGGTGCAGGCATTTGTGTTTGTCCACGTCTTTTGCTGTCACATTTCTGAAATTACAGTGGATTTTTCACAGAGCCCAGTATTTTGCTGTTGACGATATACAGAAGCACTTCTGCAAGTAACATTCCACAAGTATTTCTGTCCTAAGGAATAGCCCTTAAAAAGTTTGTAGAGGTGAAGATTAGGACTGATTTTTTTTCTTGTTTCCCATTGTCTTGGTGGCAAATGTTATGAATTGGCTAGTTATTTTAGGAAACCGATTAAGTTGGTTTTATTTTATTTGTAGCTTTAAAAAATTGAAGTCTTGACAGACCATGTCAGAAACTTGCATCTTGTCAAAAATACTTGTCCTAGATTATCCACAAGGCCTTATCTGGAAGCCAATAGAAAATCCTTGATTTGGCTTTGAGTTTTGAATTTCACAAAAAACCCCAAGTAGTTTGTTCCTTTTAGTTTGTTAGCAAACATTGTATACATGTATACGTGTATCGCTAGTACATGCAAAGGCATGTCTTGAAGCAGGAATTATTTCTGTTTCCAAAGGAAATTTCTCTCTCCATACGAGAGATAAAAATCTTTACTGATTATATGGGAGATTCAGTTGTGAGGAATTGCTGTCCTAGATTTTACTGTACTGAATAAGATACAACCATTATTCTCTACATACCAAGTATCTGTATGACCACAGTTCTTGAATATTTTTTTTTTTTTTTAACTAAAGATTTCCGTAGCAAATTATTTATGTAAATCATTGTGAGGGACTTGATTTGGAAGCCAAGGACTGGTTAGTCTCCCCTAAGAAGGGATCTTCATGCCCTTTCCTTGTGCGTGCGTTGTGATAGTCTCTGATTACTCTGTTTTCATACAGTGAGTTTCCAAAATGTTTTCTAGAATCAGTTCATCTGTAGTAATTCTTCCTGCTTTGAAGCACAGGAAGAATTTCTGAAGACTCAGTTTTGGCATTTGGATTTACCTTTGTCTTCCTGAGCTAGGTCCTGTGCTAAGTATCTTTTACTTAGCATTGATGCTTGATGTCATTAGCCTGTGGGTACGTACAGGTCAGTCTTACTATGACTTTTGTTGTACAGGGGAATTAAAGGACTTCTGGTTGTAAGAGAGAGTCTGGAGTAGAGTCAGGGACTATTAGCTGGTGTGTGATATGAAGCTGATGATGTCAAGCAGCAGAACTTACCCAGAGCAAGAACAATGTCATAGCATGGACACTATTTTTCTTCTTCCAGTACAGATATGACTGCTAGATAGTGCCCTGCTTGATCAAAGCCTCTGTAGATCTGCCACCGCCCACATGACCTCTTCATGAGTTTCTAGATATAGTTCTGCATTGGGTGGCATGGTCTCGCATAGAAATTCTCTTGTTAATGAGAATGCTGAATATGCTGTTTTGGTAAAATGCTTTTATCAGCTGTTGTTCAGTGTTTTCAGCGGGAAATGCTGGGGTGTAGTTTCTCTTCAGTATCATCTATGGGCTTCATTGTGCAGTTAAGCAAATGGTTAAATCTTCACCTAGCAGTAGAACCCATTGTGTTCAGTAAGTGTTTATACACCTTTCCTAATATGCCTGGGCACAGAGAAACACAGTAAGACAAAATGATGCCTAAAGTTGGGGGGGGGGGAGGTACGTATGTGTCAAACTTTGTGTGCCTAAAAATTATCCTGAAGCACCTGTACCATGAGATACAAAGTGAAGCCATGACTGCCTCTTGGAAAGAAATGTTGTACCTCCACACTTTATAATACTATATACGGTCTTTCTTACAGTTTTTCTGCTGTTGGAAAAGAAAATAGCGAAATGTGGTTTCCCTTCTGAGAAACCTAATGATTTGCTGTATGAAAGGGAAAAATCTTTTCTTGCTTGGCAGTATCCTCCATGGTGGGTAAGAAATAGGAAAATATAAGGCAGACTACTGTCAGGTTTTAAACCCTACATTTCAACTAAACATCTTAATTTATTGAGTTTCTGATTCTTCAGCCTTACATTTCTGAGTCTGGGAGACCGATTTCTTTTAGACTAGATTAACTTCCTTGGTAGATAGCCTCTATATTAGAGAAGAGGGATACTGGTGTTCTTAAAATAGCAAAGCTTGTTCTGGGAAAGCTACACCTTCCCCCATTTTAGTGAATTGAGTTCAGTTCCGCAGTGCTGGGCTTTCTTTTTTATACATGCCTCTTGGAAGTATGACTCCCTCACAATATGTGGCCAAGTCATTTCTGCCTTGAAAAGGAAGATTTCTAGAGAACCC